TTCTAGCCAGTAAAGAGGATGCCAGCCACAGTCCCTGCTCCTATATGGAACTGTACCATGGATATCTGGTAGCACAAAACTTCAAACGTGACCTCACTTGTGTTGTTAGCTAGTATGCAGACTTCTAAAAAAAATAGAGGTGAAAGCTAGAGATTAAAAGCAAACACCCCACACCCCCCCAAATAATCCAGGTCAAAAGTTATCATCACATTAACCTACTAAGATAGCAGGGCGAGCAGTCTGGTCTATATTTTTACATTTAAATTCCATCAGCTTGATCACTAACCAAAAAATAATGCAATCTCCTCCCTCCTATCTGTGATATCTGAAAGTAAGCAAATACTACAGGTAAAAATTTATTATATTTTTACCCTAAAAATATCTCACAAATACACAGACATTGACCCACTACAGGAAAAGCCTACCAATGACATCTCTCCTAAGCAAGCTATAATCAGAGTGGCTAATGTGCAGCCTTTCAAGACATTGCCTATAGACAGCTAGATGTGTCATCCATTGCCATAAATCTGAAAAGTATAAAAAGAAATTAAAAAAGAATTTCAGATCTTCTAAGCATGACTTGGTAAAGCTCCATGAGCCAATATTTCTAAGCCAGCCTTACACATCTTCCCTGGGTTTGAGGCCACTGCACCAATTGACTGTTTCTAGTTCTCTCTCAGTATTCTAGGTTACGTTTTAGATTCCTTACTTGCTGTGCTTGTCTTTCAACTCCCTCATTTCTCTATTTTGATCTCTCTCTTTCTTTTTCAGTCCTGCTCTTTTACCCAGCCATTCTCACTACTACTTGACAGTCTCATAGGATGTTTTTTGTGAGTTTTATCTTTAAAACTCATGCACTATCAAGCCAACAAGGTATCTGAGAGCCATTCCTGCAATCTTTCCCCTTGCTTACTAACAACTCCTATTTCCACATATCCTGTTTTATATTTAAGAAAACTATTAACATGAATATAGCTACGCATGCGTCTGACCATTTGCAGGATTAGACTATTAAACTATAGTCAACTGGAACTTTTGTACGCTGCTACATCAAGAAGCTGGATCCAAATTCCAACTGGTCTAAAATAGCAATAGCTTCAAACTTTCAAACAGCAAAATGACTCGAGAAACTGATATATCCTACCTGATGAACAACAAGCCTACTTCACTGCTACAGCTTCTGTACTTCTGGTGCTCCAAGATTAAAGGTTCAGAAGAAAGGTATGTTTCCCACAGTTTTAGAAGAGATTAAAGTGTTTTTTAAGCTACTGATAAACCTGAACACAGCAAATAAATAATTTGGGAAAAGCGTGTACTAGTAAAAAATGTAAATAGTCAATTACAGGGCCAAAATTAAGTTGCCTTCTATTTTATTTTCAAGATGGCAACCATTCAAGCAATGCAAAAGGTAGAACGGTGGAATGATTTTTTTTCCACATGTTAAACAAATATATAATAGTCATTCATATATTGAATGAACCAAGGACCTTCAGAACACATTCAGTCCATGGTTTTGAAAGGTACTTCTTAATGGCTGTTTAAAAGAAAGAAAACAAAGAACTTATGTTTGCAGGAAATTGTATTTACACTGAAATATTTATGGCTACTGCTCAGATGTAATTTTTTTTTTTTTAAAGAAAGCTGACTTTCAATAAAGGCCATCCAACCTCCAGATTGAGTTAGTTAAAAGGAACGTGATTTGCACTAACCTCTCTGAAAGACTTCTATTTATAAAGTCCCTTTTTAAGATTAATTTGAACAACTACTAACACTGCAATAGCACATGTAATTTCAATACCTCGGAAGAACTCAATCTCACTAATCAGTGTTTACAGCCACAACACCAGGATTCTAGCAGTCTGTAGTCAAAACCCAGCTCACAGTAACTGCAGGAAAGGTATTACCATGCCTATACTAAATCTTCCTGCTCAGATTTATTTCCTTTAAAACCATTTCTCTGGGATTGCAATTCTATGCTGAATTTTATTTGTCAGTCATATAAATGACTTAACGTGACAGAAACCTTTATACTCCAGACAGGGATTTTGGAAGAAACTTTAAACGAAGAATTTGAGACACCAAAATAAAACAGCCTCGTTTAAGCATGCTCAGAGCATTACAATGAGCCAAGTATAGACTTGGTCCTTAATGCAAAGCTTCTATTATACTTCTGTTAAACTAAAACAACCAAGCTATGTCACAGAAGTAGTCTCCAGCAATTATTCATTTCCCTGGCTTAGAGGTTCCATACAACATATAATTTAGATTGTTCCGAGTTTCAAAGGTTTTGGCAAGACCTCATTAAAGCTCTCTGTTAAATGTGGACAGAAGGAGAAATATTTGATTTTCAAAAGTGCTCTACTGGGCTTAAAGTAAGCCAGCCAAGAGGATACGTTAAACGACACCTGGACTTGGTACCATTTCTCTGGCATACCTAAAAAAACATACCATATGGTTGAAAGATGATAAAACTAACAATAGAGGACTGGCTTTGTGAACCTGTAAGCATGTATTTTTTGAGGAAAGGGGAGAAATCTAAGCAAGGAGCAAGGCGATTCATTTTTCCACCTAGCAACTTCTTTCCAATATTCTTAGAACAAATACAGAATTCACTTAGAAATTCAAGATAAGTTACCTCAGCAGACAATAAAGCTCATATCTTTTACCTGTGCAACAGAGAACAACTCTCTGAAAATTAGCCAAATTCAGCTTCTCTAGACTCAATTTCTTCAAATTTCTTTTGATTCTGGGTGAAGCCTCCAAAAGACTCCTGCAACTTAGTAAAAGACTTTACTTCTTTCACTCACACTATTCAAAACTAACTCCAAAGTACCAAAGAAGAGACAAGATTTCTGAGCCATGGGTAATGGGAAGGAAAGATGCAGAGGTCTACACCTTTCTGCTGCCTCATCTTGTCTTTCCTCTGCAACAAACCCCAGCAGTGGAAACTGTTTCTCCTACTCTCTCCCGATGCAACTGTTCATAACACTAAATAACAGAGAGCATGTCATTCAAGTTTCTGATTAACTGCCCCATATCAGACAATCTTTTTAGAGCTCTGTCCACCTCTGGCGACGTTCAGTTTCCGGCAGGTATTCTTGAGTCTCTGCAGCATGACAAGCTATTTGTTTTACATCCATCTATAACAGGAAGGTTGCATGTATTATCTCAAGTTGGAAGGGACCCTTATAATCATTGGATCCAACTCCCTGCTTCTCGCAGGACTACCTAAAACTAAACCATACGACTAAGAGCGCTGTCCAGACACTCCTTGACCTCTGACAGGTTTGGTGCCGTGACCACTTGCCTGGGGAGCCTGTTCCAATGACCAACCACCCTCTCACTGAAGTATGATTTGAGCGCAGTCCAAACCCCCATTGCAGTACTCGACCTAAGAAACTGTCCCCATATTTCTTTTCCTCTGACCAAATGTAGTGCGACTATAGTCAATGATTCCAACAAAAGCCAGGGAAAAAAGGAGAAAAAGATTGATGTGAGAGTGCCGAGGGGGAAGTGCCTACCTTTACTACACAGGGGAAACAAAGCACCATCAATCAGAACAGACCAGAGAGTGAAAGATTCGATGGGATGGGATCACAGACTTCACCACCCTTTTCCACTCAAACTTTGTTAAAACTTGCAAGAACATTTTTGGGATAGAAAGTGGAAGAGAACCTTACTTTTAGCTACAGATGAGCATCTGAAACTAACAAATAATAAATATTTATTAACATAAGCCAGTAAATACCCCTCAGACAGCAACAGATCTCGGCTCACTACTGACTGGTGACCCAAGAAGAAGGGCAGGGGGGAAGTAACTCCAAATAGTCATCCCTGGCATTATGCACCACACTTGAATTTCGCTCCTTTAACAATTTTGCAAATCTAGCTACACATACACACAGTGTTATTTTTCTTCACACCACTTTAAAAATGATGGATAGTAACACAGTCTTTAATATAGCTCTCAATTCTCTTGCACATAAATCTTATCCGACACTTAAAAAAAAAGTATTTTTTTTTTAAAAAAAAAAAAGGACTTTCTCCCTTTAGATACTGCCTGAAAAACTAATATGGCAAAGGGGGAAGAGGGGGAAACTTCGAACATACCTTTACAGTTTAAAAATATCTTTAAATACAAGCAAGCATTTCTATACTGCAGTTTACAGTCTTTTATGTTTCTTTCAGCCATACCTTCAAACAAAGAAAAACACTGAATTACAGGGCCGACAGAAAAAAAGTTTGATGAAACATTAAGCACATTTGATGGGTGTGACTGATAGCAAATTTAATGGCAGTTTCTCCTCCAATTCATTCATATGATTGCAATGGTTGAATTAATACAGAAAAACCTGCTTTGCTTACCAACTGCCACTGTTAACTCCAAGGTAGAAGAACTGATGATCTCACTTAGCACTAGCTTCCTTATGACAAAAAGCAAAAATTATTGTATTTTTCTTTTGAAGTTGAAAAATCATGTAGAGAAGACTTCTGAAATTAGAGGTCCTGGGCATACTAAACAAAATACACTTAATACGGGTCATATTTCCCCACAGA